CCAATCAGCTTCCATATGCAAAAGACCTTGAAGGTTCCATATGCAACTGACATTCCAACTGCCTTGCGGGGAGGGGGGTGAGTTTGAGGTGTGGAATGCAGTGAAGTCCAATCAGCTTCCATATGCAAAAGACCTTGAAGGTTCCATATGCAACTGACATTCCAACTGCCTTGCGGGGAGGGGGGTGAGTTTGAGGTGTGGAATGCAGTGAAGTCCAATCAGCTTCCATATGCAAAAGACCTTGAAGGTTCCATATGCAACTGACATTCCAACTGCCTTGCGGGGAGGGGGGTGAGTTTGAGGTGTGGAATGCAGTGAAGTCCAATCAGCTTCCATATGCAAAAGACCTTGAAGGTTCCATATGCAACTGACATTCCAACTGCCTTGCGGGGAGGGGGGTGAGTTTGAGGTGTGGAATGCAGTGAAGTCCAATCAGCTTCCATATGCAAAAGACCTTGAAGGTTCCATATGCAACTGACATTCCAACTGCCTTGCGGGGAGGGGGGTGAGTTTGAGGTGTGGAATGCAGTGAAGTCCAATCAGCTTCCATATGCAAAAGACCTTGAAGGTTCCATATGCAACTGACATTCCAACTGCCTTGCGGGGAGGGGGGTGAGTTTGAGGTGTGGAATGCAGTGAAGTCCAATCAGCTTCCATATGCAAAAGACCTTGAAGGTTCCATATGCAACTGACATTCCAACTGCCTTGCGGGGAGGGGGGTGAGTTTGAGGTGTGGAATGCAGTGAAGTCCAATCAGCTTCCATATGCAAAAGACCTTGAAGGTTCCATATGCAACTGACATTCCAACTGCCTTGCGGGGAGGGGGGTGAGTTTGAGGTGTGGAATGCAGTGAAGTCCAATCAGCTTCCATATGCAAAAGACCTTGAAGGTTCCATATGCAACTGACATTCCAACTGCCTTGCGGGGAGGGGGGTGAGTTTGAGGTGTGGAATGCAGTGAAGTCCAATCAGCTTCCATATGCAAAAGACCTTGAAGGTTCCATATGCAACTGACATTCCAACTGCCTTGCGGGGAGGGGGGTGAGTTTGAGGTGTGGAATGCAGTGAAGTCCAATCAGCTTCCATATGCAAAAGACCTTGAAGGTTCCATATGCAACTGACATTCCAACTGCCTTGCGGGGAGGGGGGTGAGTTTGAGGTGTGGAATGCAGTGAAGTCCAATCAGCTTCCATATGCAAAAGACCTTGAAGGTTCCATATGCAACTGACATTCCAACTGCCTTGCGGGGAGGGGGGTGAGTTTGAGGTGTGGAATGCAGTGAAGTCCAATCAGCTTCCATATGCAAAAGACCTTGAAGGTTCCATATGCAACTGACATTCCAACTGCCTTGCGGGGAGGGGGGTGAGTTTGAGGTGTGGAATGCAGTGAAGTCCAATCAGCTTCCATATGCAAAAGACCTTGAAGGTTCCATATGCAACTGACATTCCAACTGCCTTGCGGGGAGGGGGGTGAGTTTGAGGTGTGGAATGCAGTGAAGTCCAATCAGCTTCCATATGCAAAAGACCTTGAAGGTTCCATATGCAACTGACATTCCAACTGCCTTGCGGGGAGGGGGGTGAGTTTGAGGTGTGGAATGCAGTGAAGTCCAATCAGCTTCCATATGCAAAAGACCTTGAAGGTTCCATATGCAACTGACATTCCAACTGCCTTGCGGGGAGGGGGGTGAGTTTGAGGTGTGGAATGCAGTGAAGTCCAATCAGCTTCCATATGCAAAAGACCTTGAAGGTTCCATATGCAACTGACATTCCAACTGCCTTGCGGGGAGGGGGGTGAGTTTGAGGTGTGGAATGCAGTGAAGTCCAATCAGCTTCCATATGCAAAAGACCTTGAAGGTTCCATATGCAACTGACATTCCAACTGCCTTGCGGGGAGGGGGGTGAGTTTGAGGTGTGGAATGCAGTGAAGTCCAATCAGCTTCCATATGCAAAAGACCTTGAAGGTTCCATATGCAACTGACATTCCAACTGCCTTGCGGGGAGGGGGGTGAGTTTGAGGTGTGGAATGCAGTGAAGTCCAATCAGCTTCCATATGCAAAAGACCTTGAAGGTTCCATATGCAACTGACATTCCAACTGCCTTGCGGGGAGGGGGGTGAGTTTGAGGTGTGGAATGCAGTGAAGTCCAATCAGCTTCCATATGCAAAAGACCTTGAAGGTTCCATATGCAACTGACATTCCAACTGCCTTGCGGGGAGGGGGGTGAGTTTGAGGTGTGGAATGCAGTGAAGTCCAATCAGCTTCCATATGCAAAAGACCTTGAAGGTTCCATATGCAACTGACATTCCAACTGCCTTGCGGGGAGGGGGGTGAGTTTGAGGTGTGGAATGCAGTGAAGTCCAATCAGCTTCCATATGCAAAAGACCTTGAAGGTTCCATATGCAACTGACATTCCAACTGCCTTGCGGGGAGGGGGGTGAGTTTGAGGTGTGGAATGCAGTGAAGTCCAATCAGCTTCCATATGCAAAAGACCTTGAAGGTTCCATATGCAACTGACATTCCAACTGCCTTGCGGGGAGGGGGGTGAGTTTGAGGTGTGGAATGCAGTGAAGTCCAATCAGCTTCCATATGCAAAAGACCTTGAAGGTTCCATATGCAACTGACATTCCAACTGCCTTGCGGGGAGGGGGGTGAGTTTGAGGTGTGGAATGCAGTGAAGTCCAATCAGCTTCCATATGCAAAAGACCTTGAAGGTTCCATATGCAACTGACATTCCAACTGCCTTGCGGGGAGGGGGGTGAGTTTGAGGTGTGGAATGCAGTGAAGTCCAATCAGCTTCCATATGCAAAAGACCTTGAAGGTTCCATATGCAACTGACATTCCAACTGCCTTGCGGGGAGGGGGGTGAGTTTGAGGTGTGGAATGCAGTGAAGTCCAATCAGCTTCCATATGCAAAAGACCTTGAAGGTTCCATATGCAACTGACATTCCAACTGCCTTGCGGGGAGGGGGGTGAGTTTGAGGTGTGGAATGCAGTGAAGTCCAATCAGCTTCCATATGCAAAAGACCTTGAAGGTTCCATATGCAACTGACATTCCAACTGCCTTGCGGGGAGGGGGGTGAGTTTGAGGTGTGGAATGCAGTGAAGTCCAATCAGCTTCCATATGCAAAAGACCTTGAAGGTTCCATATGCAACTGACATTCCAACTGCCTTGCGGGGAGGGGGGTGAGTTTGAGGTGTGGAATGCAGTGAAGTCCAATCAGCTTCCATATGCAAAAGACCTTGAAGGTTCCATATGCAACTGACATTCCAACTGCCTTGCGGGGAGGGGGGTGAGTTTGAGGTGTGGAATGCAGTGAAGTCCAATCAGCTTCCATATGCAAAAGACCTTGAAGGTTCCATATGCAACTGACATTCCAACTGCCTTGCGGGGAGGGGGGTGAGTTTGAGGTGTGGAATGCAGTGAAGTCCAATCAGCTTCCATATGCAAAAGACCTTGAAGGTTCCATATGCAACTGACATTCCAACTGCCTTGCGGGGAGGGGGGTGAGTTTGAGGTGTGGAATGCAGTGAAGTCCAATCAGCTTCCATATGCAAAAGACCTTGAAGGTTCCATATGCAACTGACATTCCAACTGCCTTGCGGGGAGGGGGGTGAGTTTGAGGTGTGGAATGCAGTGAAGTCCAATCAGCTTCCATATGCAAAAGACCTTGAAACACTGGGCGGGACTGCACAAAGCAGCCAGTCAACCCAGCCAGCGTCTTCTGACTGACAGTTCAAGCGTCCATACACTAAAGGAGTGCATTTTAGAACTTTGGCACCCACTACTCAATTATATATAAGGAGAGATGCCCACGAGTTCTTGTATTGTGAGAAAGGGAGAAAAGTACCTCTTTCTCTACCTGCTGTTTCCCATGCATAATCTTATAAACCCAATCATGTCACCCCTCAGTCGTCTAAAGAGCCCTAAGCGCTTTAACCTTTCCTCATAGGGATATTGTTCCAACCCTTTTATCATTCGAGTTGCCCATTTCTGCACTTTTTCCAAAGCTAGAATATCCTTTTTAAGGTGTGGTGACCAGAACTGCACACAGTATTCCAAATGAGGTCTCACCATTGATTTATACTGGGGCATTATGATATTGGCTGATCTGTTTTTAATACCCTTCCTAATAATCCCCAGCATAGCATTGGCCTTCTTTATTGCAGTCTTGACATTTTCAGTGAGTTATCTACTACGACTCCAAGATCTCTTGATCAGTCTCTGCCAGTTCAGACCCCATCAATGTGTATTTATATTTAGGATTTTTGGCTTTTTTGTTGTTGTTGTGTGTACCTGTGCTAATAAACTGAACTGATCACTATGCTGAATCACTGAGTCTTCCTGCAACTAACCCAGTATATATCACAAATACAGCTGAGAGGCCCAAGAACCCCACCCAGGGAACACACTCCTCTGCCACAGATCATCCATCTGAGCCCTCCCCTGACTAATATGGGGGAAATGGGTCTAGGCTGATTGATAGACGAGCCTGGAGGACAAAGCAACGAATTCCCCAGGACCCAAAATATAGAAACATAAACGGTGAGGGAAAGGGGAAGCAAAAAAATTGATTGGTATAATTTTTTGTCATTGTTGCTGCTTACTTTGTCTTTCGCTAAATATATATATATATAGAAAATTAATGAACCCGAAAGAAAGTAAGAACGCCTGCAAGAGGGGACGGGGACGGTCGGACGGTGCCCTACGAAGCGCAGTCTGAACTGAATTCGCTGCTCTTTTCTTGCCTCTATGGGCAGCCAGTCACTGCTTGCAACGTAACGCGGCGCCCAGGAAGCACATTCCTCGACTCCGGATCTCTTCCTCGCTCCTCCTCCTTACTTTCAAAGCTTCTCTCACGCCTTCATGCAGGAAGCACTGACTCCTCCTCTCCGAAGTCTCTTACACCCCGGCATGATCCGTCGGATTCTCATTGGCTATGCAAAGGAGAGAAGGTTGAGAGCACCAATGAGCGACGGCCACGGCTGGGATCGCTGCAACATTTGGTGCTGTCCGTGGAAGGGGAGCGGAGCTTAGCGGGCGTGGGGAGCGAAGGAGGCAGGGTCGGAGTCGCTTGGCGGTGCACCGGTGGTAGCCATGAGCCCGTTTGCGGGAAGGCGTCTTTTGTTGGGTAATGGGGAAGGGAAGGTTCTGGTGTTGCTATGGCTTGCAATGGGGGGGTGGGAAATGGGTGGGCACTATTGCAAGTCTATTGGGGAGCCAGGGCGGGGGACAGGGGACGACTAGCTCTATTGTCCCGTTTGAAAGCAGTGGGCTGGGTCGTAGCGAAGGAGGCGATCAAATGGTCGGATAATCCCGCAGTCAATTAATTTTGAATCTAGCCGGTGGGTGGATGAGCGATGTGTTTCCTGTTTTCTCTGGAGTAGTTGATGCCTCCAGCCATTGCAAGCAATCATTTTTTTAAGACCTTCATGTGGATCTGACTGTCTGTAATGGGTGTTGCTCCATGCATTAAAAAAAGTTTTCTAAAATCACAGCAGAAATATGTCTATTCCCCCCACCTAAAAAAATAGAAGAAGAATGAAAATCATAGTAAAAAAGGGTGTGTGTGGAAATTGTGAGACCTTTAGTAATCCAGTGTGGGGTGTATCACTAAACTGTACCTGAACTGTGAAGGTAAGGAAGGTTTCTTGATGCTTAAGGCCTCTCTCTCTCTCTCTTGAAGTTGTTGTGTTTCTAGTCCTAGCCCCTTGCAAGGCAGCACCAGTGAGGCGTGGAAGGTCTGGGATCTGAAGTTTGCGGCCAGTGTGGTGATTCTGCATAGGCATGCCAGGCTAGGCACAAGTTTCTAAATAGGCTTTCCAGATTTTTCTGGTATTGAGATCCCTTTTTAAAAAAAGAAACATAAACTGGTTTTAGTGCTGTCCTAAATGGGTGCAAAGCGCTGTGGTGGCTCAAGTGGTTAAGACGCTGAACTGCAGACCGGAAGGTCTTTAGTTCAGCAGTTTGAGACCCGAGTGCTGCATGACGGAGTGAGCTCCCGTCTCTGGCCCCAGTTCCTGCCAACCTAGCAGTTCGAAAGCAAGAAATTGCAAGTAGATAAATAGGGACCACTTTGGTGGGAAGGTAACAGCTTTCCGTGCGCCTTGGTGTTTAGTCATGCTGGCCACATGACCACGGAAATGTCTCTGGACAGCGCTGGCTCTTTGGCTTGGAAACAGATGAGCACTGCATCCCTAGAGTTGGATTTGACTGGCTTTTGAGCACCTTTAAATGGGTGCAAGCTCCCTTGTAAAGACTTTTCTGCTCATGTATATAACAAACATTTATCATTTTAATTCATTACTGCAAACATTCAAATTGTGATATGAAAAGCTGTCTTGAAGAAAAAAAGATACGCTCAACTGTTTATATAGGCCTGTGGGAACATGAATATGTACGAATATATTGTATTTTGAATGTCATCCATCCAGTTTGCTGGTGGATGATCCCATTCAAGTGCACTGTTCAGATATTAGCTCACATGAATGATCCATTGCAACAAATTCCTTTTGTATCAGTTGTATGGGAAGTAGGTAATTTACAGCTTATGGGAATACTGGGAACCATCTTATGGATGTAAAACATTGGAACTAAGTGTATTTTAACCACACTGGTTAAATAAACTAAAAAATGGGCTCTTCTTTGGGAATTGGAACACCTTTGAGTACTAAAAACTGGATATTTTTAATGGACTTCAGTACTGAGCTAAGTTTACTTTCTCCTAACCTTAAAATCCAGCCCTGTTATTATTTCTAATAATTGAAATGCAGCCTTTTGATTAAAATCTAACTGGATAGCAACAATTAAAATTCTGTCCTAGCATAGCAGTGAAAATCTATGGTAAAAACACTTGCAAATCAGCATCATCATAGTAAGCAGAGATAATATTTGAAACATTTGTGTACCATGTTTCTAGCATGCACTCAGAGCAGCTTCTGGGTATACAGGTTGTACCATCAACAAACTTGTGGTACTCTTGGATTCTGAAAAGTAGGAATTAGCTTGGAGTTGAACACCGTACATACCCAGGGTTAATCCTCAAATGATTTAAGCAGTTGGCAGTACAATCTTAATGCAGAATCACTTGACTAAACCTATATATTTTCATGGGTTTAGACACTGGCAGGCATAAGGGTGGAACTTCATGTGGCAGAGGTGGGGCATGATTCATGGTCATCTTGTGTCCCAGGGAGCCTCATCCTGTTTGGTTTGGTGGAACCTCCTTTAGCATCTGTTGCCTCCTCCCCCTGTTTAATGTGCAACCTTTCAGTCATATCTTTAAGTGTGTTTTAATTGTTTAAGTGTTTTTAATGGGTTTTTTTAATGTTCACCACCTTGTGGACCCTGATTGGTATAAAAATGTTATAAATGAATAAGTGTAGTAAAGCCATTTGTCTTCTTTGAACAGGCTTTGGTTCTGATATTTTGTTATCTCTTTCGGATTCTAGGAACAGTAAGCTGCACGCTCTTTCTGGCTGTCAACAGCTTGTATTCCTCCAGTGACGATGTTATAGAGCTGACGCCAACAAACTTCAACAGAGAAGTCATTCAGAGTGACAGTTTGTGGCTAGTAGAGTTCTATGCACCATGGTAAGCGTATGTTGAGTTATTCTGGTGCCGGATAATAATGCGTAAAGGTGTATGCTCTGCCTGTAGCTGCCTTGGCTAATAGACATTAGACAGCCTATGGGCAAAGAGTCTTCTCACTCTGTGTCATGGGACACAAAGTCTGAGCGTTACTTGGCTTGATGCAAAACTTGGAATGCTTTGTCTGCAACCCTGTACAGAATTAAGTTGCTTAATTATAAGGAAATGCACTTTCAGAGGCGCTTTTTTTTTTTTGCGCGCGAGAGAGAGAGCCTGGCTGTGCAACCCCCATCTCCTGCTACTTTTCTGCTCTGTCCCAGCAAAAGCCACTGCTCAGCTTGTGAGCTGCCCTCTCTGTCCACCAGTCTCAATTGGAGCCGAGTGGTTAGCAGCAGCTGTTGGTTGCTGCTGGGAAGGAAGGAGGCAGAGGTGAAGCAGTAATGCTGTTTTGAGCCTATGCTGCTGCCTTATACCAGGTCAGACCCGTGGTGTGTCAAGGGCAGTATGTCCTACCCTGCCTGGCAGCGGCTCTCCAGGGTCTCAAACAGAGGTCTTTCCCCTCACCTACATCCTGGTTCTTTTAGCTGGAGGCTTATACGCTTGGCATCATTATCCCCAAAAGGGAAGGGGGCTGTGGTGATAGTGGTGACCAGGAGGAGGGGGCAGCAGGCTCGTTCTCCAGCTCTGAACTCTGAAGGAGAGCAGAGTGTTGTGTTTCGGAGAGCACCTCTCTAATGCAAAATAAATTATTCCTCCCACACACCCACTCCTGGTCTTCTTTAGAACTTGGAGTTTTGGGGGAATCTTCCTTGATTAGGTACCAGTTTTTGATTTTGTATTTGTGTGTGTGGTTGCGAGCCTGGAAGTCATGGTGACTTCTGGTGACCCCCATTGGGGCTAGGATGTTTCAGAGAAGTGGCTTTGATGTTGCCTGCCTCTGCGTCCCGGCCCTGGTATTTTTTGGAGGTCGCCCGTGCAAGTACTTGTCAGGGTTGGCCCTGCTATCTTGTGGCTGGGCAACTGATCTTTCTGTCAGCCCTGTTATTGTTACCAGATAAAACTGTAAAGCTGGGGAGGGTATCTTAACCTTCGGGAAGAGCTTTTTGTCACCCTCAACTTCAAAGCCCCCTTGGGGTTCAGACATGGAGAAGTGAGGTGCTCCCATCACTTTCTGCCTTTCTGTTTCTGTCCCACAACCTTTGAAGTGGGCTGATTCTGCCTTCCTTGTTGGTCCTCTCGCAAAAGGCAGGAATGTCTCACAGGAGGTCGGGAGTGAGGCTTTTCCCTGCTACCTCTTCCCTGCCTTGGACCAGCATCATGTCTTCATTGTGCCAGTCAGACTTTAAGGAGCTGAACTACAGCTTGCTTGCTGAGGCAGGCATGCCATTCTCTTGTGCCAGGCAGTTATGGGATGAATTTGGGGCCAGGCCCAACTCCAGAAAGATCCCTGATCCTGTCAAAGCCAGCAATTGCCATTTACTTGTTTGTCTTTTCTTGACAAAGATTCTGTACCCGTGAGCAGGGATTGGGTGATTGAGAAATCAAATTATAATGATAATAATAATACCTATAGCCAGGACTTTTTTTGTAGAAAAAGCCCAACAGGAACTCATTAGCGTAATAGGCCACACCCAACAGCAGAAACTCATTAGCATGACAGCACAACTCATTCGCATATTAGGCCACACCCCACATGTTACCAGAAGTGTCGTCATCCAGCCACACCCACCTTTTGCTGCTTCTTCTGTTTACTTTGTTTATGGTCAAAACCCAGGGGGGGGGGTTTGTAGCAGGAACTTCTTTGCATGTTAGGCCACACACCCCTAATGTAGCCAATCCGAATGAGTTTCTGCTGTTGGGTGTGGCCTGTTATGCTAATTAGTTCCTGCTGGGCGTGGCCAACTCGGGAGCCAGCCGGAACTCCGTTCCTGTGCGTTCCTGCCCAAAACTAGCCCTGCCTGTAGCTCTGAGCTTTTGGCTTGTCATGCTGGCCTTCCATGAAAATGCTGTGATGGAGCCACAGTAGTTACACTTCTGCTCGTGGTACACCTACTGAAGGGCATAGGCTTTGTCGGAGGAGTTGTGATGTATAGCCCGGTGGCCTGTTGACAGTACTGTTATCTTGCTGCCTGTCATGCTTATGCTGAATAGTACCCAGGCTTAAGTGTGTGATAATGTATGGAAATTGCTTCAGTCTGACTGGGACTCTTTTTCCTCCCTGAAAGGTGTGGTCACTGCCAAAGGCTGACGCCTGAGTGGAAAAAAGCTGCAACAGCATTAAAAGTGAGTTTATCTTTCCAAAAGGTAGTGGAGGCTGGTGGTGATGAGATGCCAGGGTCTTGGAAAGTGTTCTGCCTCTTGCATTGCCGTTGCATGAAGAGTTGTCATAAAAGAGCATGATCTCAGTGGGTGTAATTACACCAGAGTAACTCTGCATAGAATTGCACTGTCAGGTGATCTTGGACAAACTAGCTCGTCTCTTATTGGCTTTGATTTTTAAAACTCTGGGACCCTTTGAGACACCCGAGATTGCACTAATAGTACCTGGAATATCCCATATGCTGTGGTAAAAAAATAAGTGTATAGCCCTGGAAGAGTCTGGAGCCTTGCCTGTTGAATTTCATGTTCATAGTAGTAGAATTTATTATGGTCGCTAGACCAGCCACATACATATAGACTTGTTTCAAGTTAAAAAGTACAGAGTCGGGGGAGGGGAGGCATGACATATTTTGGGCAGAGTTTAATACAAAACAACACTTTAGCTTCCATCATTCCTTCCTGGACTGTGTCATATTATTAGTGTCTAGATTGTTGTCAGTTTTCTCTTCCACCTTCTCACATGAATTTGTGGTCAGTTATCTGCCTAGTTTTGTTTTTTATTAATCTTACTTTTCTTCCAAGGAGTTCTGTGTGGAGTACTCTGTTCTTTCTTTCCCATTTTATTCTCACAACAAACCTGTGAGATTGTTGTATAAAAATACAGAAATATTGGAAATCTATACAAAAAATAATAGAGGAAGTAGTAAATGTTAAGCTTGAGTTGGTGCCTGAAAGATATTTATTAAATATTCTGCCGGAATTGCTTACTTATAATGAAAAATAGGTAATATCATACATAATTACATCTGCGAGAATATTGTGGGCCAAATATTGGAAAATAGATAATGTACCGCGAAAGGAAGAAATAATAGGAAAATTGATGGAAGTAGCGGAAATTGATAAATTAAACTCGTTATTACAGGGGGGGAAAGAAGAGGTATTTGTTGAAAGATGGTCAGGACTGTATAAATGGTTAGAAAACTGACTGATGACTCTAAAATATATGTATATTACATGTATTACAAATGTATAAGGAGAAACCAATTAAAATAATAATAATAATTTAAAAAACCCTGTGAGATTGAGACAATGAGAATGACCCAATGTCACCCATTGAGCTTCATGGCAGAACAGGGATTTGAACCTTTGTTTCCCCGACCCTAGTCCAGAGGTGGCCAAACTTGCTTAATGTAAGAGCCACCTAGAATAAACGTCAGATGTTTGAGAGCTGCAAGACAAGAACAAATATTACACACATGCACACATGTTTTTTATTGGAAAATATGCATAGTGGCTTTTTATTAACATAAAATGAAACTGCCAAAAATAAAAACAAAAGGAGCAAAAACATATATTGATAATGATATTTATTTGTCCAATGATATTTATTTGTTTGCTAATGATATTTATTTGTCTAAGAGAGAGAAAGAGGGGTTATGGTGGAAAGAATCATAGACACAGAGTTGGAAGGGGCTATACAGGCTATCTAGTCCTTGCTCAATGAAAGAGGTGGAAAGAAAGAGAAACAAACAAAGCAAATTGATGGGGGAGGGGAAAGAAGGGAGAGAGAAAAAAGAGAAAGAAAGGTGGGGGAAGCAAATAGATGGGGAAGGAGAAAGTGGGAAAGAGAAACAAAGAAAGCAAATAGATGGGGAAGGGAGAGAAAAAGAGAAAGGGGGAAAGAAAGCAAATAGATGGGGAGGGAGGGGAGGAAGGAAGAGAGAAAGAGAAAGGGCGAAAGATTGAATGATGGAAAGAAAGGAGAAAGAGAAACAGAAACAAAGCAACTAGATGGGGAGGAAGGAAAGAGAGAGAGGAAGGAAGGAAGGGGGAAAGAAAGCAGATATATGGGGAGGGAGGGGAACAGAGAGAGAGAGAAGTGGAAAGAAAGCAAATAACTAGGGAGGGAGGGAGAGGTGGAAAGCAACTTCAAATGTGTTTTCTAACACCCTGCCATGCCCCCACACCAGATGGCTTGGCTTGGAGAAAGGATTTAAAGAGACAAATACCTTCTCCAAGCCGGTGGGCAGGGCTACAGGGCAGGGGCTTGGAAAATGCCTAACTTTAAATGTGTTCCTCAAGTCCCCCACTGCCATGCTAGTTTGGATTGGAGAAGGGATTTAAAGAGACAAATGCTTCCTCCGAGCCAAGCCAGCTGGCTGGTGTGGTGGGGCTTGGAGAACACATTTAACTTTAGATCGGGAAGGAGGTGAAAGAGAGAAAGAAAGGTGGATAGAAATATAGTACAAAGAGAGCAAATGGATGGGGAATAGAGGTGGAAAGAAAGCAACTTTAACTTTAAATGTGTCCTCCAAGCCCCCCCCCAGCCCCCACACCAGCTGGCTTGGCTTGGAGAAGGTATTTAAAGACGAAGACCTCGTCCAAGCCGGCCAGTGGGGAGAGGGCTTTGAGAACACAATTAAAATTAAAGTTGCTTTCTTTCTCTGCTCCCCCCCCACATACACCTCAAGCCTACCCAGGGAGGGGAACACTGGCTGGGGAAGGGAAGACCCAATTGGGGAGGCATGCCTTCACTTCCCCAGCCGCCCTGCCGGGAGTCGCACAAAATGCTTGAAAAAGCCACATGTGGCTCCCTCACTGCAGTTTGGCCACCCCTGCCCTAATCCAACACCCTGACTGCTGTAGCGCTCTAACCTGAGTGTTCCACCTGGCATGTCTTTTTGCAAATGAATTCATTTCTGTTTCGTTAATCTGATCAAGTTGAACCAATAGTGGCTTGTTCGGTATTGCACTTGTGCAGTGTAATGATTGAACTTGGATCAGTATTGCCCTTGTGCAGCATAATAATTGAACTTGGATCAGCCCCTACTAGAAAAACACAGATTGTCTAAAAGCCTGTGTGATCTTTGTGCCCTTAATTAATGTGATCACAGTCGTGCGGTTCTTGTGGGCTATTTGTATATTTGTAGATGATTTTTATCTGTCTTGAAAAGGAATACAAATTTGCTTTTTAACAGTCCCCTTCCCCACCATCTTCAGACCCAATTTAAACAAATATTTTACGTATATTTTAAATTGGTTCTCAACAAAGCTTATTTTTCGTTTTCCAAGCTAAACAAAGGTGACTGACCACACTGAATTGGGCCAATTTTAGACCTCTTTTCTGATTCATTCATCCTAAAATGAGGTCTTCTTTCTCCCTCTAACAGGGTGTTGTGAAAGTAGGGGCTGTTGACGCAGACAAGCACCAGTCCTTAGGGGGTCAGTATGGTGTGAAAGGATTTCCCACAATCAAGATATTTGGTGCCAACAAGAACAAAGCAGAAGATTATCAAGGTAAATGTTGAGGACGTACTGTTCTATTGTCAAGCCTTTATATTTAAGGAATGGGCAATTTAATTTTTTTTTAAAGGTGTAACCTGTTTTTCCTGTTTGGGACCCAAGGCAGCCTGCAAATGAAATGAAAACACAAAAGCAGTAGTACCAACAGCAACATATGCCAGTCAAACAGTCCATACAAATCAGTCCTCGAAAACATTATGCCTCTGGAAAAGCTCTCCCAATGAGCTGTGGTTTTTTGGGGGGGTTTTTTGGGTTTTTTTTTTTTTTTTTTTTTGCATCTTTCTGAAAGATGAGTGAATCGACAGTGTCTTTAACTCCCTCAAATTCTCATGGCCTTATCAGTTAGAAGAGAGCGCTTATGAGTCATTTTGTGTGGTACTGAAGCTGCCACAAGACTGCCTCAGTAGCTGAATCGTGCTACTTTATTCTGACGTTTTAACTCCCCTTTTCTCCCCAGAGGGGACCCAAAGTGGGCTTACAACATCATTCTCCTCTCCTCCACTTTATCCTAGCAGTAACTCTGTGAGGCAGGTTAGGCTGACAGTGAGGTCACCCAGCAGACTTCATGGCAGAGTCGGGATTTGACCCTGGCTTTGCCACAGCCTAGTCCCAACAGGCTAATCGCTACACCATTCTCTGTCATTACACAGTGCCTGGTGAAATGGGAAGGTGCTGTTGTTTGTAGTGTCCTGGCTTTGTGCAAACCCTCCCCCCCAGTTGATAATAGTTACTGTAGGAATCCTTTGGACAAATTTGGTTTTCCCCAGGCATGGCAGTGCTGTGGTGGGAGAAGTTTTTGAAACCATGAAGCTGCCATGAAGCCAGTTTGGTGTAGTGGTTAAGTGTGTGGACTCTAATCTGGGAGAACCGGGTTGGATTCCCCACTCCTTCACTTGCACCTGGCTGGATGACCTTGGGCAAGATGTAGTTCTGATAAGAGCTGTCCTTTAAAAAGAGCAGTTTCTGTCAGGAGCTCTCTCAGCCCCACCTACCTCACAGGGTGTCTGTTGTGGGGAGGGGAAGGGAAAGGAGTTTGTAAGCCGCTCTGAGACACCTTTGGGTAGTGAAGGGCGGGATATAAATCCAATCGCTTCTCTTCTTATACTGAATCAGACCCTTGGCCCATCAAGGTTAGTATCATCTATTCAGACTGGCAGCACCTCCAAGGCCATAGGCTGAGGTTTTTCACATCACCTCCTGCCTGGTCCTTTTTAACTGGAGATGCTGGGGATTGAACCTGGGACTTTCTGCACGTCATGCAGAAGCTCTACCACTAAGCCACAGTCCCTCCTACTGCAAAAAACCCTCCCACTGCAAAACAGCATCAGGTTTTTCTGCCTGCTCTGCAACTGTCCAAAGCTTTCATTGGAAAGTGTTGACATCATGTGGCTGTCAAAACATTGCTGATCAGCATTTTCACTGTTGTTCGTTTGTGTCCTAGGGGGCAGGACAAGTGAAGCTATTGTTGATGGTGCTCTAAGTGCCCTTCGGTCACTGGTGAAAGATCGCCTTAGCGGCAGAGGAGGTGGATATAGTTCTGGCAAACAGGTACTTCCAGTCAACTATCAGTCAATTCTTTGCAATGAACAGGCATCAAAAATAAGCATATGTTCTAGCTAGAAGTTCTTGTATTGTGGTACTGGAGATTGTTTAGAAAGTGCTTTCTTTGGATTCCAGGTGTTTCCATTTAAAACTTGCAAGCTGCACAATTTTAATATTTTATGGTTGTGTTTGGTTTTTCAAGAGTTTTCAAGCTGGGGGGCAAATGTAAAAAATGCAACTTGTTTGCTAGTTTTAAGCATTTAAATAGCATGGATGGCTAATTTTGACTTAAATGGCAATACGTGAAGTCATGCATGCATATCAAAATGAAGGCAGGAGAAAAAGAAGCGTGTAAATGGAATAAAATAATAGTAATCCAGAGGTTTGACTGATGAATAGGGGTGTGCAAAAAAACCCCCACAATTTGGCTCGATTCGAATTCGGCGGAATCAGGCAGAATCAATTTCGGCAGGCAGAAAGACTCCCACATGTCAATTTCGGCAGTACAAGTGGATTCTGGAGTCTTTTGACCAGCCGAATGTCAGTTTCGGCCCCATTATATCCTATGAGCCATTGAAGTCAATGGTGAAAACATACCCTATGTTTTCGCCATTGACTTCAATGGCCCATAGGATATAATGGGGGTGAATTGCCGCCGAATTTCAGCGGCAAGCCAATTCAGATCAGAGAATCTGAATCGGCCCGCAGCAGCCCAAAAGGGGTCTGAATGGGCCATTTTCGGGGGTGTATTTGGTTCAGACGAACCGAATGCACATCCCTACTGATCAATGTCAAGTAATGACCCACACAAAAATCATAGGTTATATATGTTGTAAAGGAATTTCTGATGGAGAGAGAACCATTTTCTCCAGTTCCTCCACACCCACCCTGCAGACTACATACCATGCACAGCACTGTTCTCAGGTGTCCCTTGAACCCCAGAGGAAGCATTGGGGGACAGCCTATGAGGGAGGGGACTCTGAGGCAACTTCCCAGTGAACTTTAGGGTGTCCAAATCCCACACCCTGGAGTCTTCTTTTTCTTAAACCCCAACCGCCCACAATCCATTAGAAGGAAATAAACAAGCTTAGATTAAAGGATTCATAGGGTATAAGTTGTGGGCACCACCAGTGTTTCCTCTAAACTGCACTAGTTTCTTCAGGTGCACAAATTTGTAAGCCTCAACGCAGAGATTTTTGTCTCAGCACAGGGCTCCCATTGTGGCCAGGGTCCACCCTAGCCTGCCCCTGCAGGAGGTTGGGAAGCCAAAGCAACTCGTGCAGCCTGGGGCGCCACCAGCGCCTTCCAGTTGCACCCCTCCTTTTCACAAAAATTAGGAATGCTGAGCCTTTTAACAGGTTACTTAATTCACTAAAATAAGCTTTCTTCTCTAAGCTGACCCAAAATGTTAACTAACATTCAAATAAAAGCTTGGCTAAGCTGACACTCTTATTCAGAGCCCAAGATTCCTATCTGAGGGGAAATAACACTTCTCCCCCTTTTTAAGATGAGGCTGGCTCACTCCCTCCCATCCAGTGTAGTTCCATGGGCTCGGATTGGCTGACAATCACTTGGATATGCATGATGCCAATATCACAAGTATTGGTTCAGAGCCCTGAAGGAGGGGTGGGACTTTTGGGGAATGATAGCCACAGGAGGTTGCGTGTGGATGCAGGAATATTGCATTCCACAGCTAGAGCTCTGTTCATGGTTTGATAGCTACAACTTGAAATGCTGCCTTCTGGCACTCATAGTAATGCCACTGTCATAGTTTTGCACAGTGGAACATCATTTAACCATGCTTGTGAGTGGAACTGGAATGTGGAGTCCTCACTAGAGGCTGTGTGCTGCCTCGGTCTTCCCTAGTCTTCTCTTTGTTGCAGCCAGCAAACAATAAGAACATTAAATAAGCTGTGTTGGATCCAGCCAATGGCCCATCCAGTCCGACACTCTGTATCACACAGTAACCAAAATCCAGGTGTCATCAGGGGGTCTTCCAGTGGGGCCAGAACTCCAGAAGGCCTCCCATTGTGGCCTCTCAAGCACCAAGAATACAGAGCGTCATTGCCCCAGACATAGTGTTCCATCTATACCTTGTGGCTAATAGCCACTGATGAACCTTTTCTACATATGTTTATCCAATCCCCTCTTGAAGCTGTCTGTGCTTGTAGCTGCTACTACTTCCTGCAGCAGTGAAATCCATGTGTTAATTACTCTTTGGGTGAAGAAGTATTTCCTTTTGTCTATTTTAAGCCTACTGCTCATCAATTTCATTGAGTGCCCGTGAGTTCTTGTATTGTGAGAAAGGGAGAAAAGTACTGCTTTCTCTGTTTTCTCTGTTCCTTGCATAATTTTGTAAACCTCTATCAGGTCACCCCTCAGTCATCTTTCCAAACTAAAGAGCCCTACCCTCTTTAACCTTTCTTCATAGGGAATGTGTTCCGTCCCCTTAATCATTTCAGTTGCCCCTTTTTGCACCTTTTCCAGTGTTACAATATCCTTTTTGAGGTGCAGAGACCAGAACTGTACACAGTATTCCAAAAGAGGTCACACCATCGATTTTTACAGCGGTGTTGTGATACTGGCTGATTAGTTTTCAGTTCCCTTCCTAATAATCCCCAGCATAGAATTTGCCTTTTTTATTGCAGTTGCACACTGAGTCAACATTTTCAGTGAGTTATCTACCATGACTCCAGGATCTCTCTCCTGGTCAGCTACCACCACTTCGGACCCCATCAACGTGTATTTATAGCTGGAATTTTTGTCTCCAATGTGTATCACTTTGCATTTGCCCACATTGAACCTCATTTGCCAATTTGAAGCCCACTCGTCCATCCTCGACCGATTCCTCTGGAGTGCCTCACAGTCCTCCCTTGTTTTCACTGCCTTGAACAACTTAGTGTCATCTGCAAACGTAGCCACTTCACTGCTTACTCCCAACTGTAGATCGTTAATGAACAAGTTAAAAAGCACCGGACCTAGTACCAAGCCCTGCAGTACCCCACTGCTTACCACCTTCCACTGTGAAAACTGCCCATTTATACTCTGTTTCCTGTTAATTAACCAGTTTTTAATCTGCAAAAGGACTTGTCCTGTTATCCCATGACTGCTGAGTTTACTTAGGAGCCTTTGATGAGGAACTTTAAGAAAACCTTTCTGGAAGTCTAGGTAAACAACATCTATAGGGTCATCCTTGTCCACATGCTTATTCACTCCCTCAAAGAATTCTAAAAAGTTAGTGAGACAAGATCTTCCCTTGAAGAATCCGTGCTGATTCTTCCTCAATAGCTTTTGTTCATCAGTGTGCTCACTAATTCTATCTTTAACAACAGATTCCACTAACTTATCCGGTATCGACTTAGGCTGGCCTGTAATTTCCCTGATCTCCTCTGGAACTTTTTTTTAAAGGTTGGGGTTACATTACCTACCTTGCAGTCCCAGGGAATAGAGGCAGATTTCAGTGATAGATAGCATTTTTTGTCAGGAGATCCACAAGTTCCACATTTGAGTTCTTTTCAGAACTCTTGGATGTATGCCATCTGGGCCTGGTGATTTGTCAGTTTTTAATTGGTCCATCAGGCATAGGACCTCCTCTCATTACCTCCCAAAATCAGTGGTTCTGGAGTGGGCAAGCACCTCCCTTGTTTGACAGCGAAGACAGAGGCAAAAAATGCATTCAACTTCTCTACCGTTTCCCCGTCATCCTTTAGTAATCCTTTTACCCCTTGGTCAACCAAGGGTCCCACTGCCTCCCTGTCTGCTTTCCTGGTACTAATATATTTGAAGAAATTTTTATTGTTGGTCTTTATGGCTTTTACAATATGTTCCTCACAGTTCCTCTTTGCCTGCCTGATCACCGACTTGCATTTCTTTTGCCAGAGCCTATGCCCCCTTTTATTTACCTCACTCAGACTAGCCTTCTGTTGCTTAAAGAAATCTTTTTTTACCTTTTACTGCTTCCATTGCCTTGTTTGTTAACCATGCATGCTTTTTTAAAGAGCTATTTGTACCTTTCCTAACCTGTGGTATACATTTTATCTGAACTTCTAGGATTGTAGTTTTAAATAGTCTCTAAGCTTCCTGAAGGGATTTGACTCTCCTTAACTTTCCCTTCAGTTTCTTCTTCACAATCCCCCTCATTTGAGAGAAGTTAGCCCTTCTAGAGCTAAATGTGGTTTTGTTGGTCTTTTGGGGCAACTTCCTATTCACATAAATAGCATTATGGCCACTGTTCCCAACTGGTGCCATCACATTTACATCTCTCACCAGGTCTTGAGCATTACTTGGGACCAGGTCCAGCAGGGCCATAGCTAGCGCAGGGCACACAGGACATCCCATCCCGAATTTAAACATAAGAACATAAGAGAAGCCAGTGTTGGATCAGGCCAATGGCCCATCTAGTCCAACACTCTGTCACACAGAGGCCAAAAATACCAGGTGCCATCAGGAGGTCCACCAGTGGGGCCAGGACACTAGACACCCTCCCACTGTCCCCCCCCCCCAGCACCAAGAATACAGAGCATCACTTGTCCAAGCCTGAGAGTTCCTAGCTATACCTTGTGGCTAATAGCCACTGATGGACTTCTGCTCCATATGCTTATCTAATTCCCTCTTGAAACTGTCCATGCTTGTAGCCACCATCACCTCCTGTGGCAGTGAATTCCATGTGTTAATCACTCTTTGGGTGAAAAAGTACTTCCTTTTATCTGTTCTAACCCGACCGCTCAGCAATTTCATTGAGTGCCCACGAGTTCTTGTATAGTGATAAAGGGAGAAAAGTACTTCTTTCTCTACCTGCTCTATCCCGTGCATAATCTTATAAACCTCGATCATGTCACCCCTCAGCTGTCATTTCTCCAAGCTGAAGAGCCCCAAGTGCGTTAACTTTTCTTCATAGGGAAAATGTTCCAACCCTTTTATCATTCTATTTGCCCTTTTCTGCACTTTTTCCAATGCTATAATATCTTTTTTGAGGTGTGGTGACCAGAACTGTACCCAGTGCTCCAAATGAGGTCGCACCATTGATTTATACAGGGGCATTACGATACTGGCTGATTTGTTTTCAATTCCCTTCCTAATAATCCCCAGCATAGCATTGGCCTTTTTTATTGCAGCCGCACACCGTCTCGACATTTTCATTGAGTTATCTACTACGACTCCAAGATCTCTCTCTTGGTCAGTCTCTGCCAGTCTTTGGCTTGCCCCCAATTCTCCCAGTCCCTCCTTCCCTCCCCCAGGAGGCTGAGGGAGTGCTGGGGCTGTTTCCAGCTCCCCCACTGCCGCCCCTATGGCCCACGCCATCCCTGGCTGCTGCCTGCCCAAGAGCTGCTCGCCCGCTGCATGCCTGAGCAGAGGCAAGAGCGGCACTTTGCCTGGTGGAGCCCGGAGGGGCACGAGGGGGAGGGGACAGGCAGGGGTGGTGGCAGTGCTTTAGACCAGCCCCACACAGTCTAGCTTCTTCCCCTGGCTGCACAGAACATGTCAGCGCACAGGAGGCAGCCAGGGAGCCCAGGAGGCTGCTGAAGGAGAAGGGGGCAGCCTCTTGGCCAGGAGAATGAAGCCGAGGCCGGTGGGCGGCTACCTGGTCCTGGCGCCACCGCTGCTCCTTCTCCAGCTGAGACTTTGGGGTCAGCACACAGAAGCCACAGTGGGTGTTCCGCTCTGCCTTCCCTGGGGGAAGGTGAAGGCTAAGCTGGGGAGGGAGAGGAAGGAAGGGGGGGGCTGGCCCGCTTGCTTTCAGTTGGCGCCGCATCCCCCTCCTCCTCCTCCTCCTCCTCAGCCACACTGTTGGCGCTGCTCCTCACTCTGCCCCAGGCAGGCTCGGGCTCCAAGCTGCTCCCACCAGGCCCAGGGCCCTCATTGCAGAGGGACACGGGGAGAAGAATGAAGAGCTATGGGGCTGAAGTCCAGGATCACCTTGCTCCCAGTAGGTTCAGTGACCATCTGCTCCATGGCACAGTCATTGAGAGTATCTAGGAACCCAGTCTCTTTCTCCTGACTTGTACGCATATCGACCCAATCAGTGTGTGGGTAGTTACAATCACCTACTATGACATTAGTGTTTTGTCCAGCCGCTTTCCTTAATTCTTTTGCTGTTTTTCAAATCATCCTCTAACCTTTGATTTGGTGGGCGGTAACAGACTCCCAGCATTAAGCTTCCTTTTGGGCACACTGTTTCCATTTCTGTAAGTGAATCTATTTCTGTTCTCAATCTTACTGGACTGTATATCATGTCTGACGTAGAGAGCCACTCCACCCCTGACCCTTTCTTCCTTATCCTCCCAATATAATTTATATCCAGGAATCACTGTATCCCACTGATTATCCTCATCCCAACAACAAAGTTTGAGTCCAGTGGCACCTTTAAGACCAACAAAGTTTTATTCAAGATTCCAGCTATCCCATTTTACCTCGGACACTTCTAGCATTTGTGTATACATATTTGTAATTTCCCAGACACGTTAGGCCTGCAACCTTCCTCCTGTGGCCTCTAGATCTTGTCAGGCAGTCAGTATTGTTTGTCACCCTTTCAGTGGCAAGTCCTAATCCCTTACCCTCTAGAACAGTAACAGTTATGCCCTCATCTCTTAGAGATGAGCCATCCCGAACCAGAGACATTTCACCTTCTGCCAGCTTTCCCCTAAGATTTAGTTTAAAAACTGTTCTGCCAGCTTTTTGATTTTAAGCGCCGGCAGCCTGGTTGGGACAAGTGGAGGTGGTCTCTTTTGTACAGGTCCTGCTTGTTCCAAAAAGGATCCCAGTGCCTGACGAACTTAATCCCTTCCTCCCTACACCATCGTCTCATCCACACGTTGAGACTCCTAATTTGTGCCTGCCTAGCTGGCCTTGCACGTGGAACAGGCAGCACTTTTGAGAAGGCTACCTTGCAGGTCCTGGGCTTGAGTCTCCTGCCTGGCAGCCTACATTTTTCCTCCAGGACCACACAACTACATTTCCCCACATGGTTGGTACCAACATGTGCCACAACCACTGGCTCCTCCCCAGCACTGTCTGCCAGCCTATGTAGACCACGTGTAATGTCTGCTACCTAGGAGAGCCCTGTTTGGTCAGGTAGGTAAGGTTACTGGTGCTGGATTGCATGAGAGATCTTCTAACTAAACTTGGGGGGGGGGTTGTCTGTTTCAAACCACAGAGCAGCCAAGATAGTGGAGGCTCAGGCAAAAAAGATGTGATTGAGCTGACAGATGACACCTTTGATCAGAACGTTTTGAACAGCGATGAGGTCTGGCTGGTAGAGTTTTATGCTCCTTGGTGTGGACACTGCAAAAAGTAAGTTGGGCTGTGAGTTAAACATGTAGTTTCTTAATACGTTTTGTGCATAGAAGCAGATTTGTTCCCAGAGATGGGACTTCGGAATAAAAGGAATTATTGCCATTGGGTGGGTGTGACTGCAAGTTTTGAAGTAAAGAGGTACAGGAACAATAGACATTTGGTATAGAGTTAAATTTTCATAGCAGTGGGAGCCCTTCAATAGTATATCACCATCATATACGTCGTAGCATACAAATGGTAGACAAGGGTTAGGCACATTTAAACAATACATATTTATTTATAACTTAGACTTATATACTGCCCTTCTCTGAGTTCACAGAGCTCAGGGTGATTTACAACAAAAGATTATACAAATTAAAAACCCTAAAAGTTAAAATGGCTAAAACAGCATTAGATGGCGCCACTCAAGTTTTCAGTTTGCTTTACTGTCTCACAGTGAGCAGGAGAAAGCAGGGTGGGGGAGGGGAAGGGAGTGGCAGAGAAGGGGGTATCCATTGCTGTCCTCAGCCAAAGGGTAGTGAAACATCTCTGCCTTGCACACCCTGCAGAACTGCACAAGGTCTCGCAGGGTGCGGATGTTATTTTAGCAGAGAGTTCCACCAGGTCAAGGACAGCTGGACATCTCTGGGGCTGGGGATCACCAGTAAGTTGCTCTCAGCAGAGCGTAAAGCGCTTTGGGAGACATACCAGAGGAGGCGTTCCTGAAGACACATGGGTTCCAGACAGCTCAAGGCCTTAAAGGTCAGTACCAAGACCTTGAACCTGACCCAGTACTCCACCAGGAGGCAGTGCAGCTGGCACAGCACCGTGGCGTTCCCGTCAGGACCCGCGCCGCCACATTCTGGACCAGTTGGAGTTTTCAGATCAGTCTCAAGGGCAGTTCAGCATAAAGTGAGTTACAGTAATCCAGTCTGGAGGTGACCATTTGTCAGGACCAGACAGGCCCCTGGATTCGTTTCTGGGAAGTAAATGCAAGCACTCATTATGTAGCCTAAGCACAAAATTGAAAAAGTATCCTCTTAATTGTGCAATAAAAGTAATCTGTCAAGTTCGGCAGAATGTATGCTGAGCAGAAGCCATTCTGATAGTACAAAAGCAATGACGAGCAACAAAAATATCAATATTCGGCCAAGAATAACTAACGGCTGGCTTGCTAACTCAAAAAAACGCTTGCTTCCTCAGTTGTCAACAGTTCCTTAGAGCCAATTAATTGTCGAAGGTCAGAGGAGAGGAGGTCACTTCTCTCTCAGGCCGGCTTTCTTTCCTGAATGCCCAATGCTCCCCCTTCTGTCTGCTCATAAGCCCCGCTGGCCAGTCAGGACATATTTGGTTAATCAGCATTTCTAGGCTTCAAACGAAATAATGAACGCAATTGATGAAAGCCATGAGACGTATAGGGCCGATAACAGCTTAACCTTACACCGTTGCATGGATTACTGTGGCCAGGCCAGGGTGAGACAGGACCGGGGCCAGTTGCCTCACCTGGCGCAGCTGGTAAAACGTCAGCTTGGCAGCGTTCATGATTTGGGGCTCCATAGATGAGGTATCCAAGGGCACACCCAAACTCTTGATGGTTTGCGCCAGTATTAAAGGCACACCATCGAGAGTGAGAAGTTGGGACCCCAACTTGGTCTTGGTTGGATTAAGTTTCGGCTGGCTCTTCCTCAACCATCCCACCATGGCCTCCAACCCTTTGGCCAGATTTTATGCGGAGGTATCTGGGTGGCCACCCATCAACAGATACAGCTGGGTGTCATCAGCATATGGGTGACATCCCAGCCTGAAACTGCGCACCAACTGGGCGAGGGGGGCACATATAGTTGTTAAACAACATCGAGGAGCAGATTGCCTCCTGAGAAACCCACGTGTTAAAGGGTACCTATTTAACATCCTCTATCGCTACCCACTGTCTCTGACCTTGGAGAAATGAGGTAAGCCACTGTAAGACCACCCCATGAACTCCTATTTCAGTGAGGCGGTGAGTAAACCTATCGTGGTCAACCGTGTCGAACGCTGCTGTAAGATCCAACAATAAGAGCAGCATCAACCTGCCTTGATCCAGTTGCCTGGGGAGATCATCCGTGAGAGCAACCAACACTGTCCCCTTCCCATGTCCAGGGCAGAAACCAGACTGGAACAGGTCAAGTGCCAATGTGCCACCCAGGAAACCCTGGAGCTGCTTGGCTGCCACTCTCTCAATTACCTTGCTCAGAAATGATAAATTTGAAACTAGGCAGTAACTGGAAGGATCTAAAGGATCCAAAGATGGCTTTTTGAAGGGTGGTATTACCACAACTTCTTTCAGCCCTCTGGACCCCCAAATCCAGGGACAGGTTGATAATGTCCATCAGAGGGCCCCGTACTCCCTCACCACTGGCTTTCACCAGCCATGAGGGACACAGATCCAAGAAGCGTGTGGTAGACCTAACAGCCCCCAGGATCCTGTCGACATTGGCTGGAGAGAGCTGGTTGAAGTAGTCAGATACTGATTCCAAAGACAGCCAAGGGGCCTCCAGTTCATATATTGTATCAACATTGGCTGGAAGGTTGTGGCAGAGCAACAAGACTTTTATCTGCAAAAGAACTCGCAAATGCCTCACAGCTAATAGTCAAATCACTAATATTTTGTGTTTTCTCAGTAAGAGACGTTAAGGATTGAATCACCATAAACAATTGTGCGAGGCGAGAGCTAGCAGTTGCGATGGAGGCCGAGTAGAAACATGCTGTCTGTGTCTATAGTATATACAGAAATTGCCATCACACACAATTCTTCATATTATACTTTCTGAGTGAGTAAAAACTAGTCTTAGATAGCATTGCACTCTT